GCTACATACCATTTATAGGCCTTTACAACATCTGCCTTTATTGGGCTTAGTTCAACCTCAAGATAAGACAATGCTCGCACTCTTGGTCATCATTCATGGAATTACGGGAGTTCCATTGCAGTGATGGGAAAAGCTATACCGTTCAATTCTAGCAAGTTCTTAAAGGTCTACTCTGAGTAAGAGCTTGCGACTGCCTCAGTTTCCTGGGAACATCTCAATGCGGTATAAAACGTTCCCATTCAGTGCATTTGATGAGGGCGTCAGTGCCCTGCCATTGGCAAGTCAAATTCGCGCCGCAACAGGTGAGAACACAATCCGTGGACATCCTGCTTACGGTACCAGAGTGGGCGCAACTGGTTTCATCAGGAAGCACACCACTGTCCCCCGTGCGTAGGAGCCACAGTATGAACGTAAAACTGAGCAGTCAAGCACCACTGGGTTGCGATTATTAATAGAGGGTATAGCTAACTGTTTCCACATGACGTTGGCTGCATTCCATTTTTGAGCCCTTTCTAACAGCTGCCATTACTGGGCTTAGTTCAACGTCAAGATAAGACAATGCTTGCACTCTTGGTCATCATTCATGGAATTACGGGAGTTCCAGTGCATTGATGGGAAAAGAGCTATACTGTCAATTCCAGCACATTCTTAAAGGTCTACTCTGAGTAAGAGCTTGCGCCTGCCTCAGTTTTCTCGGGACATCTCAATGCGGTATAAAACGTTCCCATTCAGTGCATTTGATGAGGGGGTCAGTGCCCTGCCATTGGCAAGTCAAATTCGCGCCGCAACAGGTGAGAACACAATCCGTGGACATCCTGCTTACGGTACCAGAGAGGGCGCAACTGGTTTCATCTGGAAGCACACCACTGTCCCCCGTGCGTAGGAGCCACAGTATGAACGTAAAACTGAGCAGTCAAGCACCACTGGGTTGCGATTATGATTGGAGGGTAAAGCTAACTGTTTGTTGGCTGCATTCAATTTATGAGCCCTTTACAACATCTGCCATTACTGGGCTTAGTACAATGTCAAGATAAGACCATGCTTGCACTCTTGGTCATCATTCATGGAATTACGGGAGTTCCATTGCAGTGATGGGGAAAAGCTATACTGTTCAATTCCAGCACGTCCTTAAAGGTCTACTCTGAGTAAGAGCTTGCGCCTGCCTCAGTTTCCTGGGGACATCTCAATGCGGTATAAAACGTTCCCATTCAGTGCAATTGATGAGGGTGTCAGTGCCCTGCCATTGGCAAGTCAAATTCGCGCCTCAACAGGTGAGAACACATCAGGAAGCACACCACTGTCCCCCGTGCATAGAAGCCACAGTATGAATGTAAAACTGAGCAGTCAAGCACCACTGGGTTGCGATTATGATTAGAGGGTAAAGCTAACTGTTTCCATATGACGTTGGCTGCATTCCATTTATGAACCCATTACAACATCTGCCATTGGGGGCTCGGGGGGCTGAAGGCTGGGACACTGGGGTTTTAAACGTAGGCTTTTAAAACCAGGGATGCGGACAAGATGGAAGCAGCGGCCACCTGCATTTTGTGAGGGCAGATCTCTGCTTCTGAACTTTTGGCTAACTGAAGCCGAGAGAAAGAGGGAGGGAGGGCGGGAAAGGTGTGGTTGAACAGCATTTTTGGCTGTGCCAAAGACCTCCATCCAGGTAGTGGCAAGACCTGATCAGCCAGAGAATGCTTACCATGCTACTGAAGCTGGTAACTACCGGAGATGTATGTAGACCGGTCTTCCAGATGTACCGCACTCCACGTGGAAAAATAGCAGTGCTTTTTAAAAGTTCTAATTTTAAAAAGGATTAATTTTAAACATTTTAATATTTTTCTTTTTACAAAAGAAAAATCAATAAAATACTTATCCTATCTTTCACTTTCTAATAAGAAATGTTGTTACAAGGAAATCTTGTCACAAACAAACCAAGGGCTGGAGTTCTGCACGCCTGGTATAGAGGAATTATGGTGTTTAAATTTACGGGCCCTGGCTAGGTCGAGTTGAATTTTCCCAGATCCAGTCAGCCCTTCAGAAACTGAGCACAGAGGTCATGTGTCCCTTCCCCCTTCCCCAACTTGCAGAAAATGCCAGCTCGCTAACTAAGTACGCAGCTTATCTGCCTGTCAAACTGGACTGCAACAGACCCTGGGAACCAAAGGCAGCGGCAATTCCAGGTCCCAGGAATTCTCACTGCTGTCACCAAGGCAAGGTCAAGTTGTGCTTTGTTAAAAAGGCTGCGTGGCATATGCAAAGATGTGTTCCCGTTCTGTGCAGGGAGAGTTCCAAGTGGAAAACAGAGCCCTCTGCGCCGCCTGGGCTGAAGCATTTTGGAAACCGTCTCCAACCTGGTGCTCTCAGGTGGGGAGGCAGGAATTGCAGTCCAATGCACTCTGAAAGGCATCGCGTAGGGCAGGTGATTTTCAGCTTTCGAATGGAAAAACACACAATTACAGAAGGGGGTACAGAAACGGTGCAGAGGAAAGTGTGCTTACCCCCCAGTGTGAGAAGCGGTGCTCCGCCCACCAGACCGACCAGCGGGAGATTCAAGACCAGCCACCAAAAATAATAATGAGGGATTTGCCGAGACGGGCTTGGAGGATGAAACGAATCCATGAGGGCTTTGCCAGGGGGAATCTGCAGCCTCCAGGTCTGCAGGCGCCATGGCCCCAAATACCAGCGGCTAGGGAGGGCTGGGGGCAGAAGCCTTGCATCTGCTTTGGGGGCTTCGTCCACGCAGCTGCTTGGCAACAGGTTGCCAGTGGAGACAGCTGTCAGCTCTGACCGAGCATCACTCCTCTTACAGCAGGACTGAATCTTTTAACCCCATGGGCCGAGCCCCAGTCCGGAGAGGTTCTTGGGGGCCCCACACCAGGGGTGGGAATGACCAAAGGCAAAAAGGGGCAAGGGCAAAGCAGACCAGCTCTTACTGCCAGCTCCTCCACCTTAGGAGAGGCGTTTCACGCCTGCCGAACGGGCACTGCGGGGAGGCTGCCACAAAGCAGGGAAACCATCAAACGATCTGTTGCTTGGGTGAGGAAGAGGGACCAGTGAAGGGGCAGGCCCACCTGGAGAAAACCAGAAGGCTGGATTTGGCTCCCCAGCTTGAGGTTTTGCACCCTGTCCCCATAGAGCAGGAGTAGCTGTATGTCCCAGTTGAGGAAGTAAGAAAACTATGGGGCCGAGGAAGAGCCCAGAAGCGACAGGAGGAGGGGGCAGAGTGGGCCCTGGATTGAGATTTGGAAGCAAATCCACACACTGGCTTTTGCTGCAGGCTTCATCTTCTATTGCATGTTAGCCAGCACGCAGGGGACTTTGCAGCAGCAAAAACAGGAGTGATGAGCAGCATCTTGGACAAAGCAAGCCCGTCCGGAACCCAGGAGGGGCTGGGTTAAGCCCTCTGACCTGATCCAGGTGTACAGTTAGGGCAGGCGAGAGTTAGACCTTCAGAGCAAGGCAGGGGCAAAGGCCCCAGGGCAGGGGTGCTGCCAGCCGGGCGCCTGCTCCCTTGCAGCTGCCTGGGAACAAGCTGCCCACCAGCCTCAGCCCTCCAAGCCACTCTCCAACTGGGAAGAGCAACAAGGCGCGAGTCCAGCTGCCTGCCTGCTCTGCCTCCTGGAAGCTCAGGAAGAGCACGCCCGCGTCCCACGGCCCATGAGGCAATCTGTATCCCGTAGGGCCACTTGGCGACAGCTGCCCACCTTCGAAGGGCTGCAGGAAACCGGCAGGTAGAACGGGAAGAGAGGGCAGGGGAGGTGATCAGCAGAGCACCGGGGCAAGTGGGCCCTGCATTCCTCAGCTGCTTCGGAGGCCCACTGAGCGCTGCCTTGCTGTGCAGAGGAGGGGAAGGCACGTCAAGAAGGCAAGGGACAGAGGCTTCGCAATTCAGGCAGTGGCCTGCTTTAATACGAATAATGGTCCAACGGGGAAGGCGCTCCAAGCCCAGGAACAAGCTGAGTGAGCCTGGGGGCAGCCCTCCACCGGCATCTCACCAGACCGCTGCAGGGCGAGGCACACAGGGCCCCCTGGCCTCTGCCTGCCCTCGGGGGGCTGCTGAGGTGGGACGGGGCCCGGTCCGAGGGCTGGGCAGGAGCAGCAGGGGCAGACGCTCTTCTAGCAAAGGTCCCCAGCGAGGACGTGGGGCGGGCAGCGTCGACAGGCTGCTTCCCCGACAGGGCCCAGGCTGTGGCGGCCAGTGCCTTCCTTTGCTACGGAAGCTGGGAAGGGCCAGTCCAGCAGTAGCGGCGGCGGCGGCGGCAGGAACATCGCTCCTACTCAGCCATCCACAGCTTGAAGGTTCAGTCGTAGGAGCACGTGGCGATCAGCTGCCCGTCCTGGGAGATGTCCAAGCCCATGACTTTGCCTTCATGTCCCGCCAGGGTTTTCAGCGGGGACCAGCCGGGGTGTGTCCAGACCTTTGCTGTGTTGTCGTAGGCGCCGGTGAGCAGGAAGTTGCCATGATTGGCTACGGAGAGGGAGAGAGAAAGAACCTTAAGCGCGGAGGCAGAAGAACACGGGAGAGCGGAACACAAGCAAAATGGGGGTTGGGCAGAGCTACCCCCCACCTGGCTCCTTCCAGGCATTTTGGACTACAGGGCTCAAACTGCCAACCATGCTTGCTGGGACTGATGGGAGTTGTGCCCAGAGGACACATGGTTGCTGCCCCTGTGACAATGCACCTGTGAGCATGGGCATCTGAGGGGGGGATCATGTGCCCACCGCATGATGTAAGGAAGAGACCAGCTTTCTTTGGGACAGGGAGGAGAAGAGCTCTGCCCCATGGAGGCCATGCTCCCTCCCTGCACTGTCTGACCCCCACATCTCTGGCTCCAGCCTGTGAGGGGCCCCTTGACCCATCCCCCACAAGGGGCCCCCCGCCTCCTGACTTGGCCTTCTCCCCACCAGGGGCTCCCACTCGCTGGCTTGCAGGAGAGAGCCGAGGAGCAGGCAAGCTGTGGCCCCGGCCCGGCCTGGCCAGTGTGACAGGCCAGTGAACAGAGGAGGCGCGAGTCCAGAGGGTCTTCTCAGCAGGCACCGCCGGACTGGGAGGCCTGGGACTGGGCAGGGGCACGACCAGGCCGCCCTCTGGGGGAGCTGGCTGGCTCTGGGGGAGGGCGAGAAGGAAGGCAGCAGCCAGCGGGAGTGGCCAGTGCCACTGCTACACCGAAGACAGAAGGGGGGCTACTGCTGCTACAGGGAGAGGCTTTGCTGGACCCCACGCCCTCCACATTCCCACTGCTTAGCTGGGGCAAGAAAAAAGACTCACGTTCAAACCAGACCCCCGTCACCAGGCTCTGATGGGCAGGAATGGTGTAGATGCATTTCCTCTGGCAGAGATCCCAGACCTTGCAGGTGTTGTCGCCGCTGCCGGTGGCAATGTGGTACCTGCGACAGGCGCGGAGGCTTAAGGGTCATGTGCTGGTGCGGCTGGGGGGCAGCTTCAAAGCTGGGCCCGGCCCCCCACCCCTGCCAGGTGGCGGCACAGGGCTCCTTACCCATTGGGGGAAAAGCTGATGCCGTAGATCTCCTTGAGGTGGCCTTCCAAAAACATGATGCAGCGCCCGGTGCGCAGGTCCCACACGCGGCCAAAGGCATCGAGGCCACTGGAGGGAAGAGGAACTGTCAGGTGTGCCCACGTGGCACTCACCCCATGTCCACCCACTGATGCGCCTCCTGCGAACGAGGTGGATTCACTCGAGGCAGCCTTCCTCAGCAGTGTCCAAGTGAGTCGGACCACATCTCCCATCAGCCCCAGCACTGGAGTAACAGAGCAAAGGCTTGCAAGGATGCAGAATGAGGCCCTCCTTTAGGCTTCCCTGTTACCTCTGCGCTAAATCCTCAAGTGAGAGAGCGCTTTCCCCTTTACCGACCGGCACAGCCCTGGTGGGCATCAGACCTGAGCAGGCTCCCTGGGGGTTGTGAAAGGACCCAGGGCCTGAGTGGAATCCACCTGGAGAGGAGCCTCCGGTGCTGAGGCCCCCCTTTCCTGGACCCCCTCCCCCGGAGGTCAGGCAGGAGCCCACACGGCCTTGTTTCCCTGCACCTTTATTTCAGGAAGCCTTCCTGGTTTGACCAGCCACTGTTTTCTGGGAGATGCTGTTCTAAATCCAGTGTGGCAGAGCTTTACAAGAAAAAACTGTTCCCCACTGGGGCACTGTGGAGTTGAGGAAGGCAAGCGTGCGTTTACCCGGTGCCGGCGAGGGAGCCATCGACGTGGAAGGCGATGTCGTAGACCCCTTTGCTGTGCCCCTCCTGGTGCAGAATCTCCTCCTGAGCTTCCAGGTCCCACAGACGCCACGAGTGGTCGTAGCTGCAGGGGAGAGGGAAGCGAGCGCAGAAACACGGGTGTGAGCAGCGTCTTTCCCTTTCAGGAGGCTGCCTGGGCTTCTCTGTCAGCCTGAGGGCCAGGGCTTGTTTTGGAGAAACTGCAGGGGACTGCGTTCTGGGGGCAGGCAGGGCCAGAACGCTGAAAAATCTCAGCATGGTTTGGAGGAAAAGCTCTCACTGCCAGTAAGTGAGCTTTAGAAGAAGCATTTCGGCCTTCTGGAATTGGGGGCATCAGATGGCACAAAAACCAGGAAACCACCAAACAAACTGTGGTCTGTTGGAACCATGGTTAAAAGAAATATGAAACCAAGAAAACCGACAGCATGGCTGTCTGGGCTGGGACACCACACCAGACAGGCTGGATCTGGCCGTGGCCTTGTGGTTCCATGCCCTGGTCTACACTGATCACCACACCTTGAGCTGGGCCAGACTTGATCTAAAATAAGTGGGGACACTGCAGAAGATGCCCTCGCATTAAGCAAACAGCCAGACGGGCAGGTATGTTTTCGGTGGTGGCAAGAGGCATGGAACTCATTCCTGTCTGGGGTATTTCAGTCCCTCTCTTTGATCTTCTCCCTGAGTTTATGGCTTGGATTGATGGAAATCATTTTCACATATGATCTATTTTAATGTTGGCACTTATTTCTACTGTTTGGCCTCTGGCCATTATTAGCATATGAACGGATTTTAACTGTATACTCCTGAAGCATTTATAAAATTTTAATAAGCTGCTTTCAGGGGGGCCTTTTTTCCCATATGTAAACATAAGAAAAGTTAAATAAAGCAAGCAGAACAGAACAAAACAACACCCGCCTAAGGGCTCAGTCTGATGCATGTTCACAGAGAAGTCCTCCAACTTCTAGGCATGCTGGGAGTGGTGGGACTTTCCCCTGTCTAAACATGCATTAAATGGTAGCCTGTGGGGGTCACAGGAGAGCAGTCTGCTGCAAATCACTGGGTAAGTTTGGGAGACAAGATACCCCTTCCCAAAATCTGGCTGAGACAAACTCACTTGGCAGTGGCCCCTAAACAAACCATTCCGTGGAGAGTTGAGAAACCAGGCATTTCGGCTTTTCCCAATTTCTAGTTCCACTGGTTGCGATGATATAAAAAAATATATAGTTACACTAAAGCTTGGTTGCATCTGGTTGTTATAAGAACCTTGCAATATTCAGAATTGGTGGCTGAATCTTCCTTTTCCCTCTCCACCTTTTTGGCTTTTTTGTGCCACGTATTTTTAGGTAGAAAGATCCAGAAGCCGCATAGGCAGACTTTCTGACTTTCCAGTTTATTTCCAGTTTGGACTTTCCAAGGAAAGAAAAAAACCTGGTTGTGCTGTTGTGGCTGCCTGTCTACTTCGTTATAACTTTCAGTTTTACGAGATGATTGCCGGGGAGGAGCTCTTGCTAGGCTGGCAGAGCCCCCATTTTTCAAGCAGAAGCTCCTAGGCTTCAATTCCTGGCATCTCCAGTCAGGACTAAACTCCTGCCTGAAACTCTGGAAGACTGCTGCCTCCAGTCTGTGCCAACAATGCAGATCTAGATGGACCAAAATATGGTTCAGTATAAGGCAGATTTCCCCTTAGAGCAGCCCCATTATCAGACCTTAAGGACTAGAACCTTACTTTGTTAGTAGCGGAGGACCTGATCTGCATCACAAGGTTCAGTTCCTGGGAGGGTAAGGAAGAAATCCCACCTGCAACTCAGGAAGGCAGCTGCTGCCAGTCAGTGTTGCCCATACTGGCCAGGAGGGCTAAGGGCTGGATCGGAAGAAGGTAGCTGGTTCTGTCAACCCCTTACCAGGTGGTGCCCAGGAACCTGCCGGAGGGATGCCAAGCCACCCGCGCCACTCTCACCGTGTGCCCTTCGATGTCGGCCACCGGCTCATCGCTGAAAGAAACACAGGGATGCCCCACTGGAGGTTGCTGATCGGGCCTGCCATTTTCAGGAGACAGCAACGTGCCCATTCTTCAGCGTGAGAGGGCAAGGCCACCGTGCAGCAAGTGTTGTGAAGCCTCATGAGGGGTGCCCTTCTCGACTGCTGCAGAGGTCAGTCCACTGCTGGGTGATTTCTATTGGCAGCTGAAGGCACAATCCAACTGGCGTTTAGATGGCGGAGGGGGAGTCTACCCTCTGTGTGGCTGGTTGGGATATGCTTTTTTCCAGTCTAAACACAACTATGATTGTGCCCTCACTTGAATTATACAGCAGGATTTGTCGAAGGTTTGATGCACTGCAAACCTATCACAGGACAGGGTTGCCAGCAAAACAGACGCTGCAGAGCCCCAACGTGACAGGCGGGGGCAGGCTACTGTTCTGCAACCATCCTGAGACTGAAAGATGGAGAACTGGACTCACGGTGCAGAAGCAAGCATGCAGGGTGGAGCTGGGGCGAGTCAGCACCACAGCAGCTTCTGCCCGCAGCAAGAATGTCAGACAGAAACAAGTCACTTCCCCCAAAGGCCCAATTAACCCTGGAGCCAGCTGCATTTCCCATGATCCGCAGCACTTGAGAGCTGCTGAAACAAGCTCAGCTTCTGTCCTTTGGGTGTCACCCAGAGGGTGCTCTAGGACACAGGACAGGGAAAGGTGCATGAAACCGTCCACTCCAGGCAAAATAGCTGAAATGCAAGGGGCAGAAGAAGAGAGCTGGAAGCACTGGTTCATGGAGAAGGAGGCTCTCTCCCATCCAAATACGTATCTCTAGAGGGTTTCAGAACCAGCATCTCCAACATGGTGCCTGATATGGTGGTCTTGGCACCCACCAAGATCCCATTTCGTCCTGATTTTCAATTTCTTAAGGATCTGGAAACCCATTATTTTCAATCTGAGAGCCTGGCATGCTGGAGAATGCCACCTTTCTTGGGGTTCCTGGGAGAGGCCTAGTATTCCAGAACTTAGACATTATTTATGAATGGGCATGCCTTCCTCCATGGCAGCCATTTTGTGACAGTGCCCACAATGCAGCCTGAACATTCCACAAATGCCCATGGCCCCCAAAAGGTCAGGCACTCCTGCTCTGAAAAAAAAAGCAACAGTTACTTGGAAAGGGAAGTCTGCCCATCAACACCGTTAACGATCAGAGATTACATATCCAACAAATAAAGGGATACCCCAATAGAATCGCTTGACCCACCTCAGAGGTACTTATTTTGGTTTTTTCACTAGTTCTCATTTGCCAAGGAAACTGCCAGTTATTGGGAGGATTAGAAATGCTATTCAGTATGTTTATAATCCTCCCAATAACTAATGTTCTTGGGGGGAATTACAACCCAAGACAAAACAAAAATGCCATTAACAATATAAATACAACACAAATATTTACAAGGATAAGATCTAATGCAATCAATGAACAGCACAGGAATCAATGCAATAGTCACAGTAATTTCAAACCAGGTCTCTCAAATGTCTGAGAGGAAACAAGCACTTTGCTTGTTTTCAAGGATTCTGGATCGATTTTCAAACCATCAGCTAGAAGTGATGGTACCTTGGCTCACAAAGTTATGGTTATAGTGGTACCTGGGCTCACAAAGTTAATTTGTCCCAGGACTCTGGTCGTGACCCAAATTGGTTGAGACCCAAGTCAAATTTCCCCGTAAGGGTCAATGTAATTAAGGTTAATCTGTTCTGCAACTATTTTTTTTACTCACAAAAATTTGGAGCAAAGTGACAAAGAACACCAAAGATCGTGGCCATCTCCCCCCCGCAGTGATCATGTGTGGGGGGGAGACGGGTGCGATCGCGGGTGCGCTGGGGGGGATGCGGGCGCACTCGGGGAGGGAACACAGGCACAATCGTGACCATCCCCCCCCAGCACAATCGCAGCCATCTCCCCTCCCCTCGGACGACCGTGCTCACAGCCGTGCAGGGAAGGCGGGTGCGCTCCTGATTGTCACCCGATGCCGAGTTCGCAACCTGCGGCAAAATTCTCATGCAATTTCTGTTTGCAACCCGATTTGGTCATGAACTGAGCCGTTTGTGAGCCGGGGTACCACTATACTGTGGTCTGCTGGAAATGGCCGCTGAGGAGAAGATCAGTTAGTTCAGACATACCTTTCAAGACTCCAAAGCTTGACCGAGCCATCGGCTGCACAGGAAGCCAGGTTCACGTCCTTCTTGTCCTGAGAGATGGTTGCACTGGGATGGAAGACAACCGACCCCACATTTGTATTATGTCCTTGGGAAGAGAAAAAGAGAAAGCCAGCTATTTAGCAGATCTGCCAGAGAAAGGAAGGGTGGGAGGGTGTGTGAATATCTTCTATGGCCCACTGGTATAGCAGGTAAAAGGCTATAACTCTGAACCACTGACAACACAGAAATCTGCATTGTGTTCAGATGAGTCAGAATCTGACCTGCAGATCAGTATATATGGGCAAGTGTGCATCAGCTCTAATGCAAATTACTGCAAACAGAACAAAATCCAGGTAAAAAGAAATCCAATTGCATCAACGAATGCATGATGGGAAAAGGAGGATCTGCAAAATTCCAAAGGGATTGATTTGACGGAAGACTGCACATCTCAACCCTGAACGCAGAAAGTGAAAGGTTCAGAATTTGCCACACAACGATGTATTTGCTCAAAGGAGCACACTGATGCCTACACTGAAATGCACCAAAAAGATCACACAGTGCCACTCTCAGAATGGAGAGCTTGTCTCTGCCACCAGGCCTTTCAGTCATTCCTGGTCTCTGGAGGAGAACAGAGAAAAGCAGCTGCTTTGTGGGTGAGGAGTGCATGGAAGACTCTGTACCTCGCAACGTGTGGACAAGATTGCAGTCTGGCACGGACCACAGTTTGCAGAGGCCACTCCTGTAGGTGGAAAGGAAGGTGGTTACAGGGAAGGAAGACCACCCAGCATTTAATTTTCCTTCTTTGAAAATTGTTCTATTCCAGTTTTCTACTTTACAAGTAACTCTCAAGGCTGTTTAACAGAGAAATGACCAAACTGACATAAAGATTAGCTCTATCTAGGGGTCCACACACACAAACACAACATTTGTGTAGGTGAAGAGACATGAATACCCAGAAAAAAAGATCCAAGGAAAAAGACTTTTTTTCCTGAATGTTTCTGGGTTTTTTCCCTTCTGGTGCCTTCACATCTTCATGTCAGTGTGTAGATTTACTCACTATGTTTTTATACCCCACCAAAACCACAGGTCTCGCTGCAGTTTGCCAAAGTAACAAAGGTTAACACCCAAAAATACACAATTAAATATAACACCTTTAAAAATAAGAAATTAAGACCAGAATAAAAGTCAGTAGCAGTAAAGATTCAGCACAAAGCACCTAAAAGATGAACCCTCTACAGCAGTATCAGAGTCAAGCCAATAGATTGCCCTGCAGATCCTTCCTGGCTCATGGACAGCCCTCAGTGCCCATTCTGTACAAGATGAGAGAACTCAGGGGACAGGAGAACAAAGCACAAACAAGAAAACTTACCAGCAGGCTGTAGCCAGGAGCTTGGAGTTGGGACTGAAGTGGCAGTATGAGATGGGCCGGTCATCGCCGATTTGGCTGCAGAAATTATTCAGAGACTGAAAGAAAAGCAGTTCTTGCTCTCAGAGGAACCAACTGCATGCAGACAGACCTGAGACAAGCAAGGGCAGAAATGAGGCTGTTCCTCAAGACGCTCAGGAAGTGTGGGAGCACTGAACTCTCTACATCGACAATATTCCACCTAGCCCAGTATCATCTGCTCTCTTGGCAGTTGCTTTCCAAGTTGGAAGGGGATGAAAGGGGGGAAACATGACCATTCCACCAGCCCAGCTGAAACACGTTTTCTTCTTCGGAACACATTCTTTTTTTTCTTTGTGCAGATCTTTCTTTACAGATCATATTCCTGTCATCCACAATTGATGGGTTACAAGCTGCTCTGGGTGCCTTTCTGGCTGAGAAGTGGGACTAAATACCTTTTAAAAGGTGCCATCCCTAGACATACTGAGGCAGGAAAAGGTTCTGCAATTCCCAGTATGCACCAGCCAACCATGCTAGCCGGGAAACGCTGGACACTATAGGATCAAGCCCCCAGTAGAAGCCTTCCCTAGTCCAACTACTGACTGGACTAGGAAACTAGAGGTACTGAAGGTGAACCTGGAAACTTCTGCATGTGAAGTGTGTACTCTGGCCCAGAGGGAAGGGAAGAGGAGGAAGAACAAACACACAAACAAGGACTCCACTCTTCTGTGAGCTCACTGGGAGCTGCAGGTCCCGGGTACCTCTGGGAACCCTTTACTGGGGACAGGTGCCATGGCCAAAACGGCCTGACCTACCCGCAGAGATTTGTGCAGTTCCTGTTTCTGGGATGTCCGTGTGGCTTCTGGGACCTCCTTGAACATCCGTGCTTCATCCAACCGCTTCATGGCCCTGGGGCAGGAAAGAAAATGGGGCTCTTTCCATGTTCAAAAGGCCTGGCCTTTCTTCCTGCCTACATACAGCTCACTAGCTTTGTGGTGACATTTCTTCTGATAAGTGCATTGTGCCTTTGAGGCAAGGATCTGAAGTCCCTCGCTACCCCCAAACTCCAACTGTACCTGAACAAATATGCAGACCCTCCTTGCCAATGTTGGCACTGCCCTCTCCTGTCACCCACAACTTACCGGGGGAGTGAGTAGTTGGCAATCCACAGCCTGGCTGTCTTTAAGGTATTTGGTCCTTCATGGTACCACGTTTGTTGATACTATGAAAAATAAAACAGTAAAAGTTACCTTCCTTTAAATGTGGAATGATGATGAAATAGAAAGAATGTTATACAAATAATGCAGCTGAAGCTCTGAGATCAACCTAGACGATAAAAAAATACAAAAGCAAATATGGTGTATATATCTCAAATATATACAACATTTTTAAAGGAGCTACAAAAAGAGACACACATTCAAGCAGGTAAAATATGAAAAATGATTTTAAAATGCTGCATAGTAAAAATAAAACAATCTCCAGTTACACAAGTTTTTAAAAATAAAATGGGAATCAAGCAGAGGACAGTGCAAAGAGCCATGGGGTACTCCCAACACTTTCTCTGAAAAATGGAGATATGAGTGAGAGCTGTGTACCTCTTCTTTTGATTTCTTGGACTTTTCATCATCCTTCTTGGTTTTTTTCAAGGCATCTGTGCCAACCACTGAGAGAATGTTACGTAGCCTGGCAAGAAATAACATCACGGTTAAGTTGCCTCCATTTTTAGGTCAGGTTAATACTGTGAAAAGAAAGTGGGGCTGAAATTCCCTTCCTCTCTCACCTCTCCCTCCTTTCTGCAGGCCCTTCCCCAAAAAGCGTGATGGGCTCCCCAAGGGCTCGCAGGCAGGCCTTGACCTCAGAGTCATCTGTGGAAACGTTGATTTGCCGGGCCCGCTTCCGGCGCTCAAACTCCGCCAGCACTTCTGCCTGACGCTCACTGATATGGTCTTCCAGGTCAAAAACGTCACCTGACCACAGACGAGAGACAGGGAGTTACATCGGCTCTCAAATGCAATTCACCTCGGTTAGACCCTCAGTATCCCTGCTGAATCAGGCCCAGGTTCATCCAGTACAACATAGAGGGAGCACTTTCCTACAGAAGACAACGGTGTGGAAAAATTCATGGACAATAAAACTTTCAAAAGTTCCTGGTGCCGATGGCAGTAGGTCACATCCAGGATTGGAGGCAGCATGTCTCTGCATACCAGTTGGTGGGAAACATAGGCAGCACGACTCAGATGAACTCATGTCATGTTTGTGCACTTGCTTGTGGTGGCTGCCAATGCCACTGAGTGAACAGAACCGCAAAACCAGATGGAGCCTAGGTCTGATTCAGCACAGTTCTTCTTAAGTTCTTAGCATTTGCTGAAGAGCCACCTATAGGCATTTAAACCATCAACCGTAACATCAAACATCCTTTCCGCAGAAGTTGTGGCAGCATTCCCCTGCCCCATCCTTGCTTCCATCTCTGAGAAAGTTCACTGCCAAATTCTTACCAGTGGTGATATTGATGTTGCCAGCTTCAATAGCTGCTTTGACAGCATCCCTGCCCAACATCCCAGACTCCCCCTTAAGGAGACGTTCACGCTCTTTCTCTTCCAGACTTCCATAGAAAATTGGGCCTTTCTTGGCAGGCGGAGCATCTCCTTCATCTGAAGCCTTCGCCTTTGCCCCCTGCAAGGAAAAAACATAGAAACTGATTTGTGCAAAACACTGAACGTGGCTTAATCCCACTTGCGCACAACTGATCCCAGGGGACGCTAGAAGAGGATACCTAACCTACAGGAGGAAAGGGCGGTCTCATTTTGGCTATGGTTAGGGATTCCACAGCAATTCACCATTTAGGATTTTCAATGTGGATAGCATTGATTTTAAAATGCTCACCAATCACCCCTCTCCTCTCTGTGGATTCCTGGACCCCAAACTATCTGAGTTTGAGCCAATGAGTATTTCTGAAAACTAAACTGTCATAGAAAAGCAAATACAATAAAAAAGCAGACCTAACATAAACTTCCTGGGCAGCAAAAAGATGTAATATGGGCACCAGCCATACCTCTACTAGCAGGCAAGAGGTGGAGAGAGAAAAAGTAGTAATAATAAAACAAAAAAGCATAGATCAAAGAAACCAGTTCCTTGAGAACATGGGTGGGAAGGTTACATCCATGCCCTAATGTGGGTTTCCTGTGGACAGTTACTGGGCACTGTGGCACTGGGCATGGTCTGATGCAGCATGGCTTTCCTTATGCTCTTATGAACGTAACTAAGTAGTCAGAGGCAACAAATTAAAGATGTAATTCAATACATACTTATGACTCCCCAATCTGTTGTAGTGGCTAGAGAGCTGGACTGGGACGTGGAAAACCCAGGTTCCAGTCTCCACATGTCCATGAAACTTACTGGGTGATTTTGAGCCAATCATTGAGTCTCTCACTCTCACCTACCTCACAAAACTTGAGGATAAGAAAGGAAATGAGGTAGAGACTGGGTCTTGAGAGAACCAGGTTCTAACCCCACTTTGCCATGAAGCTCACTGGGCACCTCTGGGCTGATCACTGTCTCTCAGCCTAAATTACCTTACAGGTTGTTGAAAGGGTAAAAATGGAGGGAAAGGATTATATAAGCTGCCTGGGCTTGTGAGGAGGAGAAGAAAGGAGTGTACATATAAGAGATGAACACATGCATTGCCAGCATTTTACACCCAGTCCGAAGGTGCAACTTGGGGGAGGCTGGGAGCTGTGGGGCCCTTTTCGCTACCCAGGCAGAGAATTGCCCCTGACCAATTCTCTTAGGAAAGAAGCGAGTTCACAACCCGGTAAATGGAGACTGACGCTCCACTACGGCTGCGCCGGCCGAGGCACGATGTGCACTGCAGTCCAACGCATCTCAGGCGCCTGAGCCAGAGAAAGCCGGTCCCCACTCCTCCGCCTTCCGCCTGTACAGAGATAGCCAGCCCTAGCTAGAACCCGGACGCCCGGCCCTCTCTCACCGCAGGACCCCGCGACGACGCCCCTCGGACGGCTTTTCTCCTCAGCCCGGGAAAAGGGGATCCCGCGACAGGCGCCTTCGAAGCACTTCCGGGGCACTGGCTGCTTTTTGGGCTGCTCTAGGCTCTCACACTCGATGCCCGCACTTCCGGGTGCACCGTGAAGCATGCCGGGATTCATGTGTGTCAAGAGAACAAGCGAGAGAAGGGGTGCGCGCATGCGCCGCTGAGCGGGATTGTCCGGCGCGAAGATGCTGTGACGGAAGCCGACGCGCCTGGAGCTCAAGCTGGACGATATCGAGGAGTTCGAGGGGGCCCGCAAGGAGCTCGAGGTACGTGGCTGCACGGCGGGCCGCTGAAGCCCCCGTTGCTCACCATTCTAGGATGCTTCAAAAAAATCTCCCCTCTGTGCATGCTTAGGGACACTCTGCCCGCGGCTGGATGGTGGGAAAGCGGTGGCCTCTGACGGCCCCGTTACTCAATTTTCCAGGACACTCTGCAGTGCACTTTGTACATGCATAGACGCTTCTCGTGAATGAATATTTGGGGGAACGGGTAGTCGCTGAGGCCCCCGTTAACCAGCCTTCTAGCATCCTTAGAGGAAAATAAATCTGCTGTCTAAACATGCTTAGAGACACTGCCTATGGCTCAGTACTACAGAGGAAGAAGTGGTTGCTTCTTACACATCTTTCTGGGATGCTTAGAAACTCCTTTTAAAAAGCTGTTTTCCTTCCTAGGGGAATGGCCATTCCCCAACCTGGTGCCCTCCAAACGTGTTGGAAAGCCAGGAAGTCCTGGATTAGGCTTCTAGTCATGTACACGAGAACAAGACAGATGATGAGAAAATGATGGGTATGTAATGTATTCATAGACAAAGCAAAGTGAGAGATCTGCGGAGGGCCATGAGACAATAGTACAGCAAATATCGATGATTACAGGATATTGACATGACAATCAGGAAGACATGTGATTCAGTACATGTCTTGGGTGTGGGCTTGACCATGTAAACAACTCTTATTCCAACATGACAAGAAAAACTAGTCAGAGCAGCTTGGGCTGCTAGCAGAAGAATGGACATCAGATAGCGTTCCTTGGGGCCCCGTACCGCAGAGGATTAGCTTTGCAACTTGACTCAAATGAGAGGAGATTCCCAATCTCCTAAAGGAACAGATGACTAATAATATTTCAGGGAACAAAAAGCTTTTGGCATAGCTTTGCAGTGGGGTTTGGAGGGTCCTTGGGCAAGACACCCTGGTTGTGTTTGCCTTCTCCCCACCGTCATCTTGCTCCTCATCTTTTCCCAGCATGGCTACCACTGGGCTTGCATGACAGGCAGGGAGCAAGGAGGAAGTGCATCTTGAAGAAGCTGGTGGCCATGGTGAGGAGTACAGGCAACTCTCAAGTACTTTGGGCAATGGCCCCTGCTTGGAGTGTGGGCCCTCGGCAGGTGCCTAACCACACCTGCAATCGATGCCAGATCTTGTAATCTATTTGTTTTTGCAGAGTCGCAAAAAGCAACGTGAAGAGGTAGACGTGGTGGGCCCCAGCGATGGTGAGGGAGCCCTGGGGTTGAACACGGACCACAAAAGTCGGGAGCAGATGATCCATGACCGGATTGGCTACAAACCACAGCCGAAACCAAACAATCGTTCTTCCCAGTTTGGGAACTTTGAGTTCTAGAGCTGCAGTGTGGATGGCCCTTGTTGTGCTGGCATCTGCGGGAACTTTGGGCAAAGGAGGAGAGTGTTCAAGATCATGAACAGCTGGTGTGGAAATGGCCAAGGAGGCTGGGCCGGTCTCCTCTTGGCATTAAGGGAATCCAACCTTTCAGCAAACTTAAAGGCCTTACTTCTCCCATGAAAAAGACAAGGTGGAATGCCTGTTTCTCTGGTGACTTCTTAGATCCTTCTTAGCTGCTGTCTTAAATGTGTGTGGTTTTCCCAAGAAAAAAAGTATACAAGCAGCATTTTATAAAAGTGAGTGAAAATTTTTATCTGCTGTACAAATCGGGTTGGCTCCAGCTTGACAAGGGAACTGGCTTCCCCGTCCCCTGCAGCGCTTGCGTGGAATTGCTAGACATTCAGGCAGACTTGTGGAATGGAGCAATCCATGGTGTGTTGTGATCCCCCAAATTGGGGTGGAGGGACCTTCCGTAAGGCGCTTTTCTCTTGTTGAAGGCAGGCCCTAGAGCCAGCCTGGGATTGCTTTGAATCTTAGGGAAGAGTTGATACTTAATTCTACCAGAGAGAAGGCAGGTGAGTGGCCATAGCATAGTGCAGGGGTGGGGAACATGTATCGAGTGCAACGTCCACAAATCCTAACCAGTGTAGCCAGTGATGAAGGACGATGGGAGTTACAGTCTAACACCTGGAGGTCCATAGGTTTCTCAGCCTCTGGATTAAGAGCAAGAGGAGGGGATTGCTCTGCAGAAGGTCCAGGCTTAGCTGTTGTCATGATCAGTAGGCAGTCCTGAGTTGGATGGATCCAGTGCCTGGCATGATGCAGAGTAGCTTACTTAGGACAGCTGCTCTGTCTGTCCCTCTCTCATGCTCAAAGGCTCCTGAAGCGATTTACAAGAGGAGGATGGCACTGCCCCTAGGACTTTGATCTGTGAAGGACACAGCGTAGGGGGGAAATGGGATGGGGAGGGAAGAGGGGGCTACTGGAATGGTCCTGCATCCCCTTTCAGCTCAGCTCAGCTTGCTGGTGGTGCCTGGTGGGGGATGGGGAGCCTCAAGGGAGAGGTGCTTCCTCGGCATCTGCGTCCACCCTTCTCATTGCCTACATGTAGCCCGGAGTGGGACCCTTTTTGCTGAAGGGACAGCGAGATCACAAAGATGTGCTTTGGGCAGGGTCATCCCCCAGACCAGTCTTCTGTGCTTGTATAGTCCTGAGGAGTTCCTGAGCCAATCTTTTGTAGCATAGCCCTTATATTCATAGCAGGATCAGACCAATGGCCTACGACGCCTCACATCTACTTCCCAGAAGCAGTGTGTGAGTGCAATCCACCCAGCCACTGCTGTAGGCAGACATCTTCTTCTCAACCATGGAAGAAGTATATAGTCATCAGGACCAGCAGCTGTTGGGGTCACCGCCCCCTCCAGCAATCGGCTCAGCCCTTCTTTAAAGCATCCACAGTGCTGGCCAGCACACCTCCTTGTTCTCGCACCCTGACAGACCTGTTCATCACGCCACACGGTTTCTGCAAGATACGATTCTGTTTTATTAGATACATACAGAATGATCGATATGTATAAAATATAATGGATTCAAGGTACAGCCAGCGCAGCACTGTACTGCAAGAGACGACACACGCTCTGCACACAGGTTAAAAGGCACCATTGTTTCTTGAGCACAGCCGTGGAGTATGGTACCATCAACTCAGCCCTGTGTGGGCTGGAATGAAGTTTGGCCACTGGTCACAGCAAGAGCTGACAACACTTTTTTCCTTCCACAATCTTACACAAGACAGGCATCAAGACAAAAAACATGGGTAGAGCGCAGAGGTCTCTCCCTCCACCTGAAGTGCAGCGAAAGAGCGAGTTTGCCAAGGACGGGGCGAGACATACATCTGCAACAGGGCTGGGGATGCTGGGAGCTGTAGGATTGTCTTTTTTGCCTAGCTAGGCGCAGGGCTGCACCCTCACAGAGCAAGGCTGGCTCCATTACTGCTGCTCGCTACCTGTGTCCAGCCTTTCGGCTGGATGCCTCCAGGGTCTGCTTCAGATCCGCTGCCTGGGAACACGCATCACGCGTGTTCCTTTGGGGAGCTGGCTGGTGACACTGGGGACACGCAGCCAGAGGGAGCTTGTGGCCCTACAGAGCGCCACGAGGGTCAGTGCTCTGCAGCCCCTTTCTAGTGGGCAGAAGCCATTGCATGGAGGGAAGGAGCCAGTGCAGCCAAGGGGGCACAGCCACCCATCCCTGCTGTAGACGCTTGGGCGCAGATGGGGCTAAACCGGCACGCCCCACTGCCAGCAGCTCGTGATGGCCTTGCAGGCTGCTGTGGAAAGCGTAACAAATTTGCCCAGCCAGCTGTATCTATGCATCTGTGTGGGCTGCATGGAGGGCCTGTTTGCACCACAGAGACAGAGACGGTGGCAGGCGGCACTGACTAGGCAGAAAGGCCACGGTGAATGACTGTAGCCGTTGGGAGCGGCGGTTTTGGGAGCAGCGGCCATGAAGCATCAAGTCTGCAACATTCTGTGCCAATGCTGGATGCAAGAGGAGGGCATCCTCGCCGAAGAAAGCATAGCGAGCTCTGCAAATGGACGCAGGGAATTGCAACAAGTTTGTTTTATTTTTAATCTGGCTGAGATTATTCTCTGGGCAGCTTCCCAAAAGCTGAATGACAAAAACAAAGAGCCAGTCCAAAATGTTGCGAGTCCTTCCTGGGGACATGCAGCTGCTCCACGGCAAACTGATTTCCTCTGGAAGAGCTGATTCAGTCAAAAGGACGTCAAGGGGGTGTGGAATGGGGGCCCAGAGCCGTTGTCCTGCATGTAGGGACACCCTAATACCTTTATTGTGGCTGCTGCCCAACGAGAACTATTTGCTTTCCATCTAACATATACTGCGAAATACAATAAATGATGCACTTTAAAGGTCAACAGCATCCATGATTCTGTTCTAAAGCAAAGTTGGGCAGGAGGTAGACGGACACTGATGTGGGGATGGAGGGGAAGCACAAGTTGCAAAAGGTTAGCCAGGTTCTCCAACTCCTGGTTGGTTGACAGCAGTGGCATTTATGTGCAAACCCCAAGGCCCTGATTCATGAAGGTTATTTTAGGTGGGTTGTGGGGGACAGTAACTTTGCCCCCCTTCAGCATCAGATTGGCAGGCAGCTTCAGGATCTAATGAAACACAAAATATACCTTTCTCTACTCTGGCCACAGAGGGGAGTGCCACAAGAAACCAGATCCCTTCCATGTGAGAAAAAAACATTGGATTTACTTGGCAAAGAGGCTCAAGTTGGTGACCACGGGATGGGTGTGGACTGGAACTCACCCAATTCCCCTCCAGCACAGTCACTGAGCATTATGGGAGTTGTAATCTAATAAGCTGGAGGGCACCAGTTGTGTAACTGTATCACTGGGGTACAGTGGTAGTTGTTGATGATGGATTTTACGGTGGAATTGGACTAGCCTTCCAGCTGCATCAGACTACAACTTTCATCAGCCACAGCCATCGACCATGCAGGTTGTGCTGATGTGGACCAATAGAGCCAGACTGCCTAATATGTGCTGGCTGAGCCCCACCATTGGCTATAATGGCTTAAAAGAACCTCCATGTTCAGGGGCAATAGGCTGAGAAATACTTTGCTAGACAGCAGCAACAGGAGGGCTGCTGCCTTTAATGCCTTGCATGTGGGCGTGGGGGAGGCATGTTCCTGCCCCCCCCCCCCGGGGAGATCAGATGCTACACTTGGAAGTCATGTGTGGTGAGCTAGTGGGGCATTTCTAAACCTGGGGCCAGCTGCGCTCATGAGACCCTCAGGCTGCAGCCCTGTGCAGGGTGTGCCAGAACAATTGGCTAGGCAGGTGGTGAGGCCTTTCTCTGTGTCTCCTTGAACAGACCTGGGCAGGGAGGAGGCAGCTCTCGCCACGTTTCGGTCTCCCTGTCAGCAGAGCCTACGTATGGCTGCAGAAGCCGCCATCTGAAGCCAGAACCACCAGCCAAAGGGAAAGGCAGGAAGGCGGCGCTATGTCTGCACACACTGCCAGGAGGACAGGCGCTCCTTTTCCTCGGACATCAACGCAGCCGGCGCCCCTGCGTTTTGGCAGGCCGAGCAGCCACCTGGGTTGCTTTTACCACCAGCTCAGCTGCACTGCCCAAGAAGCTGATCGCTATGCGGCTTTCGATTCAGGACGCCCTGGTGCCAATTCCACCTCTGCTCCGCTTCTGTGCTGGTGATTCCAAAGCTGTGCTGCTTGGCCCTTCTGTTACTTATTAGCACAGGTGTTCAAAAGGAAGGAGAACATAACATCTTTTTGAAGAGGATACAACTGTTGTCTTTAACTGCCTTAAGGAATGGAACCTTGTTGACACAATGTCTGTCAAAATCAGCCAGAGCAAAGCAAACTCTGGGTGCTTTCGAGGTGCCAAAGATCCCACCGAGTTTTGCAACCACGGCTTCTTATGAAGAAACTCCCTACAGAACCCCACGGCCTTGGCTAGCACAAGCTGCGTTGAGGGGAATCTGCTCTGAGAGTGTGTCTCGCCTCATCTCGAAAGCTGCCGAGGGAGGCAGTGATGCACCATTTAGAAGCTGACCATTAGCAGCAGGACTGGCTCCAGGCACTGGGGGCTCCTTGGGGAAGACGTGCTCAGGGGACTTCTCCCTCAGTGAACCTGCCTTCACACTGCCCAGGTCACCAGTTGCTCATCCTCTTTCTCATCAGGAGCTTGCTTGACAGGCTGACGGCCAACAGGGAAAGAGCCCATGGCTGCAGCTGCTCTTTCTTGCCCACTCTGTTGCCGGGCCCAGAGGGAGCTGCCCAAGCAGGGTGCAAGGAGGAAGAGAAGTCCATCTGGGGGGGGGGGGGGGCGGCCTGTGCCGCCTCCTAGGTGCCTGGTTGTGCAAACCTTCAGTGCCAGCCCTAGCCCTCTTTTCTTCCCTGCTGCAAAACTACTCTCTTGCATGAAACTAACCCTGCTGGCAGGTTTCTTTCCCCATGTTCTCCCCTTGTATTTTGGGTCACTGGCTGACACTTGCTGTTTATGCTTCTGGCAGACTTGAGGGTGGGTAGAACAGACGAACTAAAGCTTATGACACTTTATAATGACTGCAGCATTGCACAATAGCACCGTAGGAGGAATTCAGCAGCAAGGTTCCGACTCCACTCTCCCTTGCAGAATTCGTGGAGGGGCGGAAATGGTACAAGGGGCACAGTCCTTTTGGGGAATGGGTGAATACTTTCTGCAGGCCTTCTCCAGAGAACAACACCCTCTCTCTTTCTGCAGGGCCCTGCGTATATCCTGGCATGAGCCTGCACTCCTGTTTGAAACCAGGTTATCTTTGTGAGTGGCTTCCCAGTGCAGTTAGGAAATTACAGGAGCTGTAATCCCAGCACAGGCCAGGAAAGACTATCCTAGAGCATATCAGGAACTTCTGAGTTCCTGCCAGCTTCTGAGATGCTGGTTTTGCCCTGGTAACAGCAGAGCAGGGGAGAAATCAGCACCTTCTTAAAAGTTTCTTGCCCCATTCAGGGTTGCAGCTGCGAGCCGAGATGGAAGAACCCTGGCCTGCCTTTTGATGCAGGAAACGGGGCACTTCCTTGCAAGTCATTCCTGCCCACGTAGGTAGAGATGTAGCAGGAAAAGCAGTGACTTCAGCTCAGAATGGAAGGAGGCCTGGACTGCTGGCACAGACAGAGCTTAAGTCTCCTCAACCCCAGCTTTGTTCGAGGTAGTTCTAGGCTTAGATGTAAACGATGGAGCTGCTTTCCTGCTGCCTCTTCCTGCCTGCAAGCCAGAAGGGGGCTAGTGCTCATTTTGTCGCTGTACCTGCTCCTGCTTTTTTAAAAGGTTGCTTTACGGTCTGCATGTTTCATGACTGAAGGATGGTGCCCAGTGCACTACGGAGCTGTGGGCTGCTCACGTAGGCCTGCCTATCAGTTATGGCCCACGAACAGCCCTGAGGTTGTTTGGGAGCAGCAGGCCTGCCAGGCAAGACTGGCTGGCCTGAGGACTGAAAGCACATCCAGCCGGCAAGCACAGAGGGCTAGAACCAGGCTAGTACAACTGGCCAGTTTGGGGCAGAGGAGGGGAAAGGAAAAAGGAGTAGAAAGCTAGATTCAGATGCTGAGGGAACAAGGCACCAGCAGCCTCTGTGCAGATGGCGCAGGCCCTGACTGCCAAGCAGGGAGAGTACTGGCCTGACGACAACCGTAGCTTTGATCAGCCACTGCCGATTAAATTAGGACCATTCAATGACCATGCCCATAAATCCAGCCTTGAAAGTATTCTGAAAACAAACATGGAATCATTATCTGGGCTTCTTGCCCACTATTTTCAATCAGGGTACAGTCTAAAAAATAATAATAAAATGATCAGACCTGCTAATTGTATCTATGCGGTAAGTCAATCATCCTGCGTTAGGATGCTCGAAGCTGGCTGTTGGCTCTCGTCCCACCACTCTGGTGCTCCCCTCCTCGGAAGAAGGTGATGATGTGGGGGGAGAGGAGTGAGAGGCCCGGGCACCGTCCCAGGAACGGAATGGAACGTGGTGGGAAGGGCACCCTACGGATTATCTCAGTGTGTTTCTACGAAGCCTGGTCCTCGAAGGCTTCAGGGAGGGCCAGGGTAAACTCGCTGCCTGGCGTTAATGGCAGTGCTCTGTGATGTCCACCACGACCGCCTTCTTCCAGCTGAAGAGGAAGTAGCCCATCCCTGCCCCGGCAGCCACGGCAATGCAGAGGTAGCCATTGTAGGTCATGAAGATGAGCATGAGGAAGTAGCTGACCACCACCTGGATGATGTGCAGGATGGTCTGGAAGAGGTGCGGGAAGCTCAGCATCTGCTGCCTGAGGAAGAACAAGGAAGGCAGGGGAGAAGAAAAGTTAACAGTGTGTGCTGCAGGAATAGGGATGGCAGGAAAAGTCAGGAACTGGATTCATTGAAGATCTGGTCACTGCTGTTATTAGTAGGGAGAAAAATAAACTGCCCAATTTTCCAAAAAGCTATGAAGATGGTATTACAGTTAATCCCTGGGTTTTGAACGTCTGGGTTACCCACAACCCATACTTGTCTCTAACAAAAAGGCATGAGTATCTCTAGGGAACTACGTGATGTGTTTGGTGATGTGTTTCTCAGTTGCCACATAGTTCCCTAAAGATGCAGTATGTACGTTCTTTTTGTTCCACAGTGCCCAGATGCTGGACTTCAGTGATAACCCCCTCCTCACCCTCCAGCAGCACAATCAAACCCAGACTTTCCAGCACCAGGTCTATCTCCATCATCATCAGTTAATGGTATTAACTGATATTAAGCTTAATGTTAACTCAAGAATGTTCTAAACTGTTTTAAGAACTGTATATTTATTTATTTAAAACTTTTATATGCCATAACCACAGGCCTCGGCATCTCGGGATGGCTTACAACATAGAATTAAAACAATAAAACAGTAACAAGTACAGTAAAATTATATAAAACAACAAAATAAAAAACAACTGTTAATGATAAAATTAATTTTTTAAAATAGCCGTTAAATAAAAAGGTTTTAACCTGGCGCCGAAAAGAATATAGACTTTTACACATACATACAGATTCATAAAGAATATGTTTACACATACATACAGATTCATGCTCTTCTCTCTTCAGTACTTGTAGTTTCTGTATTATTGTATTATTTACAATGCAGTATCGTATTTATGATGTTTTCGTCAATATGAAAGTGTTTCTTAAGTGTTTCATATGCATAGGAAAGTAACACACACACACATACACAAGACAAGCATTGCTTACTGATGTGATCTGACTTACATACAAATCCAACTTCAGGTCATTCTCAGGAACGGAACTTGTCCATCACCCAGGGACTGCCTGTAGTCAGGTCGGGAGCTAAGCAACAAGATCTAGCTAGAAAGGAACTGGGCAGTCTGGGGCTGGCAGGGGAGGGATTACCCCACCATTTCTCTCATGTTCGGGGCAGAATGCCTCCTGACACCCCAGGGGTCCCTAGGCGTTCTGCGGAGTGGGTGCATTTGCAAGCTGGAGTGTTGCAGGTGTTTTCAGAAAAAGGTGGTTGTGTTGAGGGACTTGTGCATCCATAAAGTGGCTGCTATGGGGGTGCAGGTGCCATCACTGAAGACCCATTTCTGATAAGACAAACTGGTGAGATGAGAAGAAAGTTAAGTTGCCAAAGAGCCTAAGCCCAAGGAAGAGGTGTGGTCTGGGCCCTGAAGCAAAAAGGCCCGCTTTGAAACCCAAATAAACCAGCACGGAGCTCTGTAGCATACCAACCTCCCTGCTGAGAGAGTGACTAAATTAAAACATCTTAAGAAACAAAATAAAAAGCAGAAGGGGAGGGAAACCTGGTGGATGCCAAGAGAGGGGTCTGTGGGCACTGACTGCCAGACTGCGAAAAGGGGGAATGAGTCGGAAAGGACCAATCCAGCCTGACCGTGTCCCAACTGCCTTCCCCACATCTCCCAGGGAGCTCAGGCTCTACTCACCCGACGGTTTTGTGTGTCTCCATTAACACGGTGCCATTTGGTCCTGGGACAGGCATAGAGTTGTAGCGGATGCTGACTTGTGACTTCCGGAGGAGGCTCTCGCGGGCAATCTTCAGACCCTCGTAGAACATGGCCAGGAAGAAGATGGCAATGAACGCACCGACCATTTCTGTCAAGACACGGCAACGTCGGGGGGCGTTGTCACATCAGCCCCATTTGCATTGGCCCTGCCCACCCACAGGATGTAGCCCCAAATGTTTCGCTGAAACAGGAGTTGGCCCTTGGGCTGCCAAGTTTCAGTGTCCTGCCCTGTTCCACTGATGGGACTGAGGGCGCAAGAATGGACTCCCAGTTACTCTTCTAGGCTGGGACAATCCATAAATTGCAGCTCTTATGTAAGTCACAAATCAGCTGGCCCTGGAGGGAGGCTCCTGGGAGCTTTTTGGCACCTGGATTGGACCCCCACTTGAAGATGCCTTGCCGGAGACCTGAGGCCAAGGGACTAACCATCTGCCTTGGTGACACCAAGCCGACTGGCTCACTCACCTCCAGCCGTGTTGATGACGAGCCCCGAAAACAGCAATGGCACATCCTTATAGCCGAAGTAGAAGGTCATTTGCTGCCCAGAGACCAAAAAAGAAAAAAGTCTGTTTTAACACTGGAAGACTGTGAGCAGGAGGGTCTTCGGCCAGTTCCCCAGCCCCAACCCTGAAACCACAGGCGAGCTTTTAAGCTCCCCAGAACCAAGGCTTGGTAAAAAGATTGGCCAACAAGTGATCCTGGGTACATTTAGAAAGACCTCGTGAGACGCATCTCCTTCCAACCACACCTGGAGTAGCAACAAGGAGACGACTTTTGGGGCTCTGGCTCACCATCATCATCATCCCTCCGCCATGCATGTGCCCTGGCGTGGTGTGGTGGTGCGCGTGAGGATCCGAGGTGGGCACGGCTGCGCCGGTTGTATTGTGGCCCATGTGCATCATGTGGTGATCGGCAGACATCGTGGCGGGACTGGCGAGGCACTGGAGACAGCTGGGGATGCTGGGCAGAGCCTGGGAGACACAGACAACAGCGGGCGTGAGCGCTGCCTGCTACAGAGGACGCATGCGCAGAGCCTTTCCACACAGCCTGGAAGAGGATGGGCCCTTCGACCAAAGCGATGTGCGTTCTGTGCCAAGACCGAACACTTTAGGAATCTAGAATTTAAACATGCGCTTTATTTCTTTAGTTAAAATCTTTGTATGCCACCCAATTGTGCCACAGCACCTCTGGGCAGCTCACAACCTTGAGATAAAAACACAATAAAAACCCTAACTTTTAAAAAGCAATTTTTGACACCAGGGATCCCCAAGACCTTTGAGCCGGTAGATTGGGAATGCTAGGATTTGTAGGTTGCTTGCCCATTTGTAAAGTGGCACAGCCAGCCACAAAAGATCCATTCCCCAAAGCTGGCAAACTGGGTCTTTTTTGACAGGGGCTATGCTTCTCCATCAAATCCTGAGAGTCGTGTATTGGATGCCTGCCCAGGAGCACTTGACTCTTCTGGATCTCTCTGACCAGAAAGACTGAACTTTCCAGCAAAGCTAGAAGCTGTGTGTTGAACATATTGTGTGGGAGATTCGGAAAAGGCGAGATCAGCCTGTGTGAGGGTGCTCCCCGAGTCGCCAGCCTCCAGACGCGTCTGTGGATCCCCTTCAGAAGGAGGGCAACCCCTTGAGCTGCCACCTGTTGTGTTCGTGGGGCAGGGAAGAGGAAGGCAACTCTGGAGCCGCAGGCAACGTGGTGCTTTCTTGCTCGTTTGGCGATGCTGAAAGCTTGACCTCAGCGCCCTGAGAGGCTGGAGGGGCTGAGGAAGATGCCCCACCCTCACACAGCCCTGCCTGCGCCTGAGACTGCCGCCCTGCCGAACACCTCAGGGCCAAAGTGCACCAGCTACAGGCTCCCCTCACCAGGCCACAGGCTCCAGAATGATCTGCACCGTTCTCCCAGGCCCCTTCCCCCTCCCTGCACCCCAGGAAAAGGGGAGTGCGAGCAAACGGCAGCTGCGCCCACCGTTCCTGCCATGCCAGGGATGAGCCATCGGTGATCCACCAGCAGTTTGGCCAGTCTCTTCCCTGGGGGCCGTTTACTAGTGAAAGAACAATACGCGAGATGCAGAAACGTTTCCTGCCAATAGAGCACTTGAGTGGCTTAACAGAGAGGTGCTTTAATCAGATTTCTGTTTGGATACTGCAGATCTGGCCATAATTGTTCATAAAAGTGGCCGCCGCAGGGCTTGGTTGTTCTCCAGCCCCATTTTAAATTGCATCAGCTCCAAAGTCAATCATCTGGGGGCTCTAAATGCTCCTAACTGGCAGCTCTGCATATGGCTGGGGACAGAGCACCAAAAAATCACATTAGTGTAGAGAGATAAGCAGGAGCAGAAAGGTCCTGGCTTGCCCAGGGCAACTTTGCCCCTCCCCAGCGTGTCCTTCTAACGCCAGCCATCAAGCAAGGGGCATTAAGCACCGAGAGGGCGGGCCTGTAATCCATTTAGCTGCCACTTCCGGATGGAAAAGCTGCGTGGAGATGAAATCGCCACCTTCTGTCCTCTGATGCTCAAACAGCCTCTGATTTGGGAAAGAGAACAGATGCTCCGCACAAACCTTAGGCTTAGCTAGTCTGCAGAGGAGGGGGCCACAGGGGGGTGTGGAAAGCGCCAGCCTCCAGCCGTGCGACAGGACAGACCCCATCCCCACCTTCCACCACCTGGAGCATGAGAAGGCCTGGCTGTGTGTGGCTGCAAGCAAGTCACGCCAACCGCCTGCAGTGAGCCCTGAAGTGGATGCTGGCCACCTGTTCAACGCAGGCCTCAGAATGGCCCCCTGGAGGGTCTGCGGCAGCCCCCCACCCCAGTCACCGGTCGCTGGGTAGTGTCCCAGTCCTTGCACACGCTGCTTTCTCCTCTCAAATGTCTTTTCTGTGGCACCAAGATTTAAACTAAAACAGGCTGGTGTTTGGACCCACCCCGTCAAGGCCCTTTCCCCCTGCCAAACTCTCCACATGGACTTCAGCCTCCAGCTGGGAAGACTTTAACCACCCTGCCTGAAAGACTATTCGAGAGTTTGACTGTGGCCGCTTAGCAAAGGACACGGGCATGGCCTCGGCAGGCTGCTGGGTATGCCACACGCCAGAAGCCCTTGTCCTGGACGAGCTGGTGAACAGAGAGAACATCCAGTGGCTGAGTGTGGACCTGGGAGTCCTGCATCTGAACCCCCCACCTGGCCCTGGAGCTCACCGGGTGGCTCTGGCCTTCCCGGCCTCACTCCCCCGGCAGGCCCACGCTCAGCAAGAGCCCCTGAAGTCCTCACCCCCTGGTTCCTGCCTCTCTGCCAGCCAAGCAAACAAGCAAGGGGGAATCACATCATGGGAGACAGCAGCAGGGGGCTGTTGGGGAGAAGGTGGCCTCAGTGAAGGAGAAGGTCCACCTTGGTGTCTCGCCTGAGGGACCTCCAAATTGTAGAGCCGGCACAGGCAACATGCCTCTGAGCACTGACAGCTGGGGAAGATGGGTGGGAGGGTGCTACTCCACTCACGCCAGCTTTTGGGAAAGCAGGAAGCTGGCTGTCCAGTGTGTGAACAAAATGGTGGAGATGACTTGTCTTCTTAAAATAAGCTTTTCTACAGGAATGTTTGCTTATATTATGCTGGATAGGGAACAACCCCCACTTCCTCTCGAGTAAAACTGCTTTAGGCTCACGAGAAAGAGGTTTGCAGCATGGCACATTGCTCCAGGGGCTCAAAAGGAAAAGTCCTACTGGGTGTCCGGAAAGCCATGGGCGAGCCGAAGTATGTTTCTGGATTCCAGCCAACATACGGATGTAGGGACAGGACCAAAAGAAACGCCCTAAACGCTAACACTACCACCTTCGCAGTGGTCAGACAAGCTCTTCTGAACACACGGTAATTAAAGCAAAGGATGAGCAGGGAGCCGTCAAAGCAAAACATACAGTAATTAAAAGCTGTGAATCAAATCCTACATGCCTAAGTATGATTACTGCACAGGAAAGCGGTGCTGCCTCCAAGGTTTTTCATTTTACTGATTATTAAATTATCTCTCACCCTTTTTCCTCCAAAGTACTGACATAAGTTTAAATTCTCCGCACAACTACCCTGCGAGGTAGGTTAGGCAAAGTGTCTATGACTAGATCAGAGTGACCCACTGAGCCTTGTGGCGAGCAGAAATTAAAGCCCTTTCATTCTTTATTAATATCCATTTATTACAGCATTTATAGCCTACTTTTTTGCAAGGAACTCAAATTGACTCACACAATCGTCCTCCTCTCCCTTTTATCTTCACAGCAACTCTGTGAGGTGGCAAGTGAACGGCTGGCCCAAAGTCACCCAGTGAAGTCCATGAGTAGGTGAGGACTAGAACCCGGATCTTCCATGTCCCAGTTCAGCACTCTGCACACAACACCACAATAACTGGGTGTCCAAGGAGGCACATAACCTCACTGTGCTTACACAATGCAAAACTCAGTAGGATAGTTCAGCCTTTCACACTAGGATACTCATGAAAGCGAAACGTGAGCTTAATCATGATCCTGGAAAACAAAAGACTTCGGCCCGCAGAGCAGCTCTTGGATCTCCCGTGCTTCGGCGTTATTCAAACCCTGCTCGTGGAGCCTGAGATTCCAGGTTAAGGAGGAGAAAATCTGTTAGCCCTGCTGGCAGGCAGATCGGGAAGCAATCACACACTAGGAAGTTCCACCTTGCAACATGAGATAAGGTAAAGGCAATCCTCCAATAATATGGTAACACAGCAGGTATTTCTGGTCTGAAAGAATCCAGAACCATCCCAAGGGCAGGCAGCAGAACACACACACACACAGCCCAGACTTGTTTTCCCTTCTCCCCAAATAAATTGTCTAGTCAAACATCAGGCAGACACAGCTGGCTGGGCTCCAGGTCTGTGTGTTCACTTGCTCTAACTCTGCTACATCTGAGCCACTTTGCTCCCACCTGCTTGGAATAAAAAAGCAAAGGGTACAGGTGAGTGAGAAGCCGTTTCTCGTATCGCCCGACACAAGTTCGGGACTCTTACCTCTGGCTAAGCAATTCTCAGAGCGAATGCCTGCAGAAGGAAGCCCAGGACTCTTCACACGCTCTGTGTCCCGCCAGTTGCAGGAGATACTCTAAAGCTTGGCATCATAAGACCAGAATGCGGCTTCCACTTTATTCCATTTCCTGATATTCATTGCCAGGGCTTAACTGTTTCCTCTCCAAAGCAAACAGCCGCATCCTGCAGCTCAGGAAGGCCCTCTGGACCTCAGCACTTGTACAAAGGCACTAATGCGAGTGAGCACACTCATATGGAAACATGAAGCATGTGCATGCTGGGACGGACAAACCAACACTGAGATCAAGGAGCCCTCTCTGTTTTATACCCCACACATTCTATCCCCCATTCCCTGACTGTCAAAGATAACATTTTTGGTCTTTCCTGTTTCCATGCATTGGACTGTGAAACTTTGCACAGCAGTTGTGCTGTCGCCCCACTCCATTTTCTGAAATGGATTGTATGCTTCTTGGGGCAGGTTCCTTAAAAAGAGGGATCCCCAGGCTGCTTGGGTTGGTGGGCACATGTGGAGCATTAAGACTGTGGTAGGTGCACCCACAAAGCTGCTGTCACAAGGCAGGGGATGGCCCATTCGGAAATGGCTACCATGAACATGGCTGACTGCAAAGCACTTCCTTCCAACAGGCAAACTGGTAGGATGAGAAGAAATTGGCTTGCTCACAATCCAGTGTCCAAGGCAGAGGATCTGAACTGCAAAACACAAGGCCACTCCTTGGGACCTAAATAAAGGGGGGGCAGTCCCTTGCTTTGCTCTGTGCCTGCCCCCTGGTTCAATACTTTCTCACCGAAAAAATACAGAGACATCCTACAGAGCCCGGACAACCTCAAGAGTGCAATGGGGTGCTCCAGATGTTGAGGTCGGAGGTCAGAAGCAGCGTGCTGCTTTCAGAACTGGGGCTGTGTGCATGGACCCCACTCAGCCGGACGGCT